TTCTGTGGGTCTGAGCCCTCGGGCTCCTCCCAGCGCAGGCTGATGGAGTCGTTGGTCTGAGCGTCCACTCTCAGGTTCCTCACTGGGTTGGGGGCCGGGATGAGGGTCCCCGGTCAGCCAGTTCGGATCATTACTCTCCCTTCCACCCCCTCACCCAGCCCCACACTGAGCTTGCTCTTCTCCTAACCCTTCTCCCGGACCGGGAGACCCTTATGGAACCCCCAGGAGGCTCATGGGGTTGAGGCTCTGTGTCCCTGAGAGGTCACTCACCAGCTGCCCTGGCCCCGCTCCAGCTGCACAGACCCTGGAAGGAGGCAGGGAAGAAGGAATTACACCTAAGCCTCACTGGCCCCAGGAGAGGTTGTGAGTCTGGTCTGGTGGTGCTGCCCACGACACTCCCACCCTCGCTCAACCATCACCCTGGCCCAGGAGACAGCTCAGGGCTGAGCCGTGACAAAGGTCACCCCAATATCCGTATTCCTCCAGCAGGGAACAAGGTCAAGTATGGTAGGGGTGTGGTTTCAGGGACGCAGAAGCTGACATTGGCTCTACTGATAAGGCCAAAGATAAACTTAATGGTTTCAATTTTTGAAAACTACAGGCTTGCAATGCTGGGGGTGGGGAAGTAACCATAAAAGTCTGAAAATATGAAGAAAACAAAACTGGAGGCTGAATTGAGACATCATGGTCACAAGGAAGGGCTGGGCCTGGACCCCCAGGTCTGAGGGAGGAGGCTGGGCCTGGACCCGGGGTCTGAGGGAGGAGGCTGGGTGCGGACCCCTCCTCAGTCTGAGGGAGAAAGGCACTGACAATGGGTCTCTGTGAGCACCCTGTGTCTGGCCTAAGGGGCTGTTTCTCGTCCCACTGTCACTGTACTTATCTAAGCCTGGGTGTCAGACTCTCCACAGTCTCACCCAAAGTGGGAGCCCTCTTTCTTCTCCAGTACATAACCAGCCCCTAACTCCTCTGGGCTCCGAGTTCAGGGAGTCCCTTCCCTCATCCTCTGACTGTGGAGTCTCATCCCCAGCACCCCGTCCATCAGGAGCCAGCTCTGCCCTGGGCCCGGGAGAACTTACCAGCAGCACCAAGCTCCCCCAGGCCCCAAGGCCCCCGGCAGCCCAGGCCATGGGTCCTGTCACTGTGAGGGACACAGGAGTCTCAGCCTGGTCCTTCCACCTGCTGGACTTTACACTCAAGAATTTCCCCTTTCCCAGCCGTCGGTGAGGCCAGCGGCCGGGCAGGAAGGGGAGGAGGAGGAAGTGCAGGCTCCAGCGTGAGCCTCCCGCCCGGGCCCTGCCCTGGGCTCACTCCTTCCTCCCCTCCAGTCCTCCTGACACTGCCCACCCCTCTGGCCTCTTGGGCCTGACTCTCAGCCCCAGCTCACCCTGCTTTGTAGTGAAACCCTGGGACTTTTGGGGCTGGGCAGCAATGGCCACGTGGCCCTGAGGCTCAGAGCAGCGACAGCTGAGAAGCCGCTCGCAGGGCCCCTCCTACCTCTGAGCCGATGGGTGTCAAGAGCAGCCTGGCTTCGGGGCTCTTCTGCCGCTGCAGACCCGTGGCTGTCGCACAGGAGCTGGAACTTCTTCCTGCCTCTGGGGCCACAGTCTCCCAGCCAGGTGCGCCTGTCGCTGTGCCCGGCAGCCTCCTCCGCCCGGACTGGGCTCAGATGTCATGCACACTGGGTCCACTGCTTGCTCGGGAACCTGGGCCTATCCTTCACCCCCACAATGTGTATTTGCATAGCCACTTGGCCACAGTTGTGACCTCAGGCAACTCAAGCTCAGCGTGACTCAGCTGAGTCCTCTGGAAAGAATGGGGACAACCCCTGGTAAACAAGCGATGAGGAGTCTGTGAAACAGTCCAGCCGAAGCCTGGCCCGTGAGAGACTTCACGAGTCTCAGCCATGTCTACTCTGATCATCCCGTGGCCCCAGCGTCCAGGGGGCCTCAGGTACAGGCTGGTCCCCATCCCTCCGTGCAAGTCCTGACGCATGCACTGAGCCAGGGACGTGCGCCTGCATCCTCACTGTCACCGGCCTGATCCATCACTTGGTGCTGCTGTCTATCTCTTGGGTTTGTTGTTTTCCGTTTGGTTTGGTTTTTGCTGCAGTACCAAGGATTGAACCCAAGGGCTTCACATTGAGCTACATTCCCAGCACTTTCTGCAAATTTTTGAGACAGGGTTCTTGCTTGTCCTCCAATTTGTGATCCTCCTGCCTCAGCCTCCAGACTGCTGGGATGACAGGTGTGCCTGGCTGTCTCTCTGTTTTTAAAGTAAATTTCAATACTACCTCAGATACAAAGCAGCCACCCACTTCGGCCAGTCCCAGAGCCATGGGCACTTCAGGGTCCCAGATGTGAACAAAGGGCCAGCTCAGTGGCAGTGGAAAAGCAGGGCAATTGTCTGGAAAGCATTTTCCTAACTGATGAGAAATAACTCAGGCTCTGCAGTGGATTACGTAGTGTTTATTAATAAAGATTAAATGAAAAGAGGAAACATCATCCACTGAGCAGCGGTCTGAGCTGCACTGAGGTGTCTGTCTCTGCCACTCTGCAGCAGGGATCGGATTGCTCTCTCTGACGGGGCGGCTTCTGAGTAACAAACACACATTGCCATGAGGCTCTGCAGCTGGCAGCCCATGGGGCCTGCACCCACTGCAGGGTGCCACTGGCCAGCTGGAGGGTCACCTCGCCCCTGGCCACCTCCGATCTCCACCTGTGCCCTCCACTGTGCCTCCTGGGCATCCCCTGCCATGCTACAGCATCCTGGCAGATGGTTCAGACAGACGGACAGGCATCATGGCCACCAGCACCGTGCAGATGCCGACACCAATTCTGAGCTCTCCTTGGCCTTATGGGAAGAAGTTTGCGAAAAGGGAGTGAAGCTCAAGGGCTGTCCTGCAGGAAGTGAGCCACTGCAGCCCATGGGCAGGCACCTCGCAGCCTGGACAAGGCCACTGCCCGTCTTCTGAGACATCCACCCGATCTGAGAACCCGGGGCAAAGGGGAAGGAGGAGGGGAACCACGCCGACCTTTAGCGCAGTGCCTGAGTCACAGGAGGAAGCAGGGGCCGGGGCTGTGATCCCAGGTCTGACTCCTCCCAAGCCAGGCTGGCTTCCCACACTCTCTCGCACACGCCCTGGGTGTGGGCTCACTGGTCGCACACTTTACCCCAGAGCGTCCCACACCGTCACTGGAATGATAGGTCTTTTTATTTCTTCTTATATTTTTGTCTGATTTAAAATTTTTCACCACGTGAGTTTTTTTGGCCTTGTTGTTTTGGGGTTTTTTTGGTATCGGAGATAGAACTCCAGACCATGTGCTTGTGTGGCAGATGCCAGAACCACTGAGCTAAATCCCCGGCCCCCTTGGCCTTGTTTCTTAAGACAGGGTCTCACTGTGTAGCTCAGGCTGGCCTTGAACCTATAGTGATCCTCCTGCCTCGGCCTCCTGAGTGCTGGGATGACAGGCAAGGGCCACCAGCCCAGGTGGAAGTGCTGAGGCTTGTTTGCTCTGCAGCACTGGGGCTTGAACCCAGGCCTCCACGCTGAGTCCCCTCCCCACCCCCTTTTTATTTTTTACTTTGACGCAGGGTCTTGCTAAGTCGTTACACTGCCCAAGCTGAACTCGCATTTACATCCTCCTGCCTCGGCCTGCCAGGGTTCACAGGCATGTGCTACCACGCCTGGTCCCAGAAACACTTTTTACACCCAGAAATGCATGTTATGGACAGGGGTACCCCACTGTAAGTGCATGACTCAGTCGCATGCCACTCTTGTGGCAATTTCTCTCTCCGAGCTTCAGTTTTTAAAAAAATGTTTATTTAGGTAGAGACTGGGTCTCACTAAGGAGCCCAGGCTGGCTTTGAATTCACAGCAATCCTCCTGCCTCAGCCTCCTGAGTTCTGGGAACACAGGTGTGTGTCATCCCACCTGGCCTCAGAACCTCAGTTTTCCCATCTGTACAAATTAAGATTTAGTTTGCAAAAGTTCCCTTTCAGCGACCAATGGGTCCTGTCCTCTACCACTCATTTAGGGTTCTCTACGTCTGTGGTCTGTCTCTGTCTTTCTCCATTTGTAAGTACTCCTTGTCGCAGAACGAAAGCCCAGGCTTGCTGACTCCACACCTACCCATCAGGTCTCTTTAGAACCCACCTTCCATGTATGGCCACCATTCCTTGGCTTCTGACTTCTTCACAGAGCCCACTGCCCATGCAGGGGAAGAAGGTGCACCCTGCAGGAGACATGTAAGATCTTCCTTCTCCTCCTTTCCCCCAAAGAACAGAAATCCCAGCTGGGCACGGTGCCGCACGCCTATCATCCCAGCACTCAGGAGGCTGAGGCAGGAGGATTGCGGGAGTTCAAGGCCAGCCTGGGCCCCACACTGGTGGGAGCCCCAGCTGGCACAGCCCCGAGTCACGTTCCTGTCAGCCCCTCCAGGAGCATGGAGGAAGAAATGACAGCTCCTCCAGTCTATGGGTGGAGGGCAGACTTCGGTGACCACAGGGGACCCTCTGTGGTACCGACCCCGGGAGCAGAGCCCGGGTTCGGACACGGGCTGTTGAGGGGTGCTTCATGAGAAAGGGCCTGGGGAATCTCTGTCCATGGCTCCCCCAGGGTGAGCTCCCGCCCCTTCTGCTGGGACTCTTCAGCTGGCCCACAGCAGTTCTTTCAGGCCCCAAGGGCATCTGTGAGCAGCCAGCACGCCCGGGGAGCAGGCTGAGCATCGTGCCCACGCTGGGGCTCTGAGTGGGCCACCAGCGCAGCCACGCACACAGGCCACAGCGCGGAGTCGGACCTCAGGCGCGGGGAGCCTGTCATCTGAGTTTTCCCTAGAGGTCGATTTCCAGGGTGACGGGGATTAGGAACAGAGCAGCACTGCTGAGCCTGGCTCTGATTGACGCCCCTCTGTAGGGGCACACAGGGCAGGGCACCCTGGTCCTACCAGGACTCAGGAGTCCAGTGGCGCACCCGACCCACGACCATCACAGGTGGGTGCACATGAGCCGGCATGGCAGGGGGCCTGCCATCCCAGAACAGGGAGGCTGGGTGGAAGACAGCAAGGTAATCCAGCCCGGAGACTTGCAAAGGACTAGGATGCAGCATGGTGTGAAGGCCGGGCTCAATGCTCAGCACCACAGAGAAATTCAAAGGCGCCTGGGAGTGCGGGTGGAACCTTGCAGTCAGTTCCCTGAGCTACAGCGTCAGGACAAAGGGAAGCCCCAGGACTGCTCTGCCCACCCCCAGTGGTAAATAAACGCAGGGCGAAAACAAGTCTGCTGTCCCAAAAGCCCAACTGGAGCACGAAATAAACTGAAGCCAGGCGTGCTGCAAGCCTGCAGTCACACCACTCCGGGAGGCTGAAGCAGGAGAATCACAAATTTGGGCCCAGCCTGGGAAACTCAGTGGCTTAGTGAGAGCCTGTATCAAAACAAAACATAAAAAGGAGCTGAGGATGGAGCTCACCGCGAAGGCCCTAGGTTCAATGCCGAGTCACACACACACACACACACACACACACGCACACACGTTGACGCCAGGAACGGGGGAAGGCGCCCCCTGGTGGAGGTCTGGCCGCTGTGCTTGGAGCGCGCGCGAGGACAGGAGCAGGAGGGACCGAGGCTGCGTCTCGCCACCAGCACAGCGCTCCCGGCCACGCCCGCCGCGCATCCCCGGAGGGGCCGAGGCTGGCGTCACAGCGGGCAACCTGAGGGGAGCGCTGGGCGCCGGGAAGCAGCCCGCCCACCCCAGCCCCGCCCGGTCCACACAGCCCGGCGCTGTCCTCGGTGCTGACGGGGACTGACCCGGCCGGCCGTGCCGGCGCAGCCTCGGTAGCGGCAGACGGGCGTCTGCGGAGGGCTCTGGGAGGCCCACAGCCTCGGGGCGCCGCCCGGCCCGGCCTCTGCCCTCCACCTGGACCCAGAAGCCCCGCCCGGCCCGGCCCCTCCTCCTCTAACCCTTGCGCCACCCCCAGGCCCGCCAGCCCGGAGCCGCGGCCGGCGCTGCGCAGCACCTTCCCTCCTCTGCCCTCTGCTGTCTCCTGCCCGCCAGCCTCGAGGCGCGTCAGCCCTGCTCCTGGGAGACTGAGGCAGGACAGCATGTTACAGGCCAGCCTGAGCAACGTCACAAGACCCTGTCTCAAAGTCAAAGATGAAATGGGCTGTGGATGCTGCTCCACCACAACAACCTCCACTCAAGCTGGTTGAGTGCTTAGGATTCGATCCCCATTACACCCAAAAAACCCAAAACAAAACAAGAAAAAGTGGGCGGGAGATGAGGAGGAAGCAGAGGCTTCAGGAATGAGGATCCAGCCTCCGGATTTCCCTCACCTGCTTTCTGTATTTCTCAAAGAAATCCCTGTGCTTCCATCTCCTCCTCCAGACACCCCACCTTCCAACCCCACCAGTTCCTTCAGTGCCACAAGAGCTGCTCTGGTCCTCTCATTCCTGTAAGAGTTCCTGGGGGTGCGGCATGGTGTGGAGGTCTCCCCTCTGCTGTAAGAGTCCGTACAAGCACAGCACCATGGAGAAGCAGAGCTCAATCTCTGGAGCAACTCCACCCTCGCCAGATGCAGAAACCGAGGCCGAGAGGCCAGCAGCTGCCCAGGCCCATGCAGCTGTGCTGTGCCGCTCGCTTCCCTCTTGCTTGCTGCTCTTCCACCCCTCATGACCTAGCTCCTCCTTCAAGGTCTCCCCCTCCAACAGGGTGACTACGGTGAGTTGTGGCTGCTAAAAAAAATGTCTTTCTGGGGCTAGGACTGTAGCTCAGTGGCGTGCACCAGGCTGCAACCACAAGGTCCTGAGTGCAATCCCCAGTACTGAAAAAAAATCTTTCTTGGCCAGGTGTGGCACACACCTGTAATCCCAGTACTCAGAGGCGGAGGCAGGAAGATGGCCATGAGTGTGCCGCCAGCCTGGGCTATGGAGCAAGACCCTGTATCAAAAAAAAAAAGTCTTTCTTGGCCTCAATTCTGGCCACCTGCCCCCTGGATGGTGACCCCACAGAGGCCGAGGGGTCCCTCAGGCACCAGCCTGGCTCTGGGGACAGGGCCCTCCTGAGGCCTCTCCCAAACACTGGTGACACTGCCCTCTCTGCATCTACTTTATTAGCCAGGGCAGAGGCACGGGTGGCCAGAGGGCAGGGCAGGGAGCTGGAGGCCGAGACAGCTGTGCCAGGTCTGAAGCGTGCATTTCTCAGGTGAGGTCACGGCAGGAGGGACTCTTGGTCCTGCCCTCAGTTGACCCTGCCCTGCCCTGGGCCTCGGGACTCCTGAGCACCGACAGGGTGATGAGAGCCTGCACCGCGTAGTAGGTGGCCATGGTCACCAGGTGGCTGTGAGGCAGCGGCTGCACAAAGGCATCCCAGGCCAGCACTGCATCAGACACCGCGAAGAGCAGGGCACCGAGGCTGGCACTCCCGCCCCGGGCCAGGCCTCGCCACAGCACAGCGGCCAGGAGCAGTGCGTAGGCCGCCATGGGCCTGGCCATGGCAGGCTGGAGGTGCGGCAGCAGGACGCTGAGGTAGGTGGCAGCGGCCAGGAGGGCGAGCAGCAGCAGGCCAAGCCACAGCGGAGAGAGGCCGAAGGCCCGCAGGTAGAGATGGTGGGCGGCGGCAAAGGCGGCCACGCCTGCAGGGGCAGCGGCTCAGGCCCCCAGCCTGCCACTCCCCTGTGCGCAGCCACCCCAGGCCGAGGGAGGGATGGCCAGGAGCCAGCCACCCTGACCCGCCCTCCCCTCAGCTCTCACCGTGCAGGAAAGTCTCAGGCCATACCAGGCAGGTGTCCCCCACGGCCGAGCACAGGAGGGTGCCCTGCAGGAGCCTGGCGTGGCCCCGGAGAGCAGGGACAGCCCCCAGCAACAGCACCAGGCAGAGCACGGGCAGGCCCTTGAGCAGGGCTGCAGCCCAGGAGGGCCGGAGCTCAGGAGTCCAAAGGAGGAAGTAGACGGAGCAGGCGAGCAGGAAGGGGCTCAGCCACCTGCAGGCCCTTGGGTGCTGTGGAAGGGGATGCTGAGCACACTGCCGCTTAGGGCGCTGGCTCCCACCCGCCCCACTTGCCCAGACTCCCTTCCAGGCTGGGCCCGGTCAGGGACAGGACCTTTACCCCCTGGGTGACCCGGGCACTCTGGCCACCTGCAAGGGCCAGGGTCTCTGTCCCGAAGGACCTGCTCCCAAGAGCACGGGGAGCCCCCAGCCCCCAGGGCCCCTGGTTCCCCAGTCCCGAGTCCCACCCTGCAGGCTCTCACTTGGCTGAAGAACCCCTTCAGGGCCAGGCCCTCGTCCCCGCGGTCCATGCTGGCCTGTGACACGGGGTGGCCTGCACCCAGAGCTGGAGGACTCCGGGTGGGGAAGGCTCATTACACATTAACCCGAGTGTCCTGTGGACTCCAGGACTGACAGGCCCGGGATGTGGCCGTGCACGGCACCCCTCCCAAGGTGCCCACTGGAGCCCCTGCCAGCACAGTCACCTGCCCACCTCCTCAGCCTGCAGGGTAAAGACAGCCAGTGGCCCTCCCAACGTCTTGGGCCCTGCCATCGGGAGGCACAGAAGGACCCCAGGGACAGGCGCAGTGGATTCCTGCCTCCACTCTGGCCAGACGGCTGAGAGCCACGCTGGGCCAGGTACAGCCTCACCGGGGCACGGGGATGGGCCGCCAGCCTCCCACCTCTTGCAGGAATCTACAGCCACTGCAGCCCACGGGGCTCCTAATTCCCCCAGGTTCCCTGCCAGAGGGGGGCAGACAACGCACCCCACCCCAAGCCTGCACAGGCAGAAGGGGGTAGCGAGAAGGCCCGTCCCACAGAACACCCCAGCAGCACGGCATGAGGGTACTGGGCTCGGCAGGGAGCTGCACCGCAGCCATGTGCAGCAGGCTCCCCTGGCCCAGGCCCGAACGCAAGGTCTGACCAGTGGGAGTCATAAACTGTCTGCCTTTATTTATCTTTGCAATATGAAACAAGCTCGCATGAACTCGCGCACACTCACGCCGTCCTGGGGGAGGGGGCTAGGACAAGGCCACTTGGCAGCAGGGCTGGGGCCCCAGGCCCAGGGGAAGGTCCATCACTGGGTCTAGGCGAAGGCACAGCCCACTGCCCGCCGCCCGCCGAGGTGGACCTGAGCTGAAGGCCAGGCTCAGGCGTCTGCGCTGGGATGCAGGACACGCAGGCAGTGGCCGGGGCCACGCAGCGCTCCTGGACAGCAGAGGTTGTGCTTCGGCGCCAGGCCTCCCTCCTCCCTCGGTACATATAGAATATAGAATATACGTCTCTCTCCTCTCTATGTCACTCTTTATTCCAGGAGCCAGGCAGGCTCCGCCATCTTCTCAGTGCAAACGGGCAGGGCGGGGCTGCTCCCTGCCACCAGCCCCCAGGAGCCCAGAGGACACAGGAACCGCCGCTGGGAGCAAGGGACCCGCAAGGGACCCACCCTGGCCCACGGGAGTCCATGGGGAGGACGAAGGACCGGGCCACCACTGCCACGGGCGGCTACCTGGAACAGAAGATGCCGTGTGAGAGTCCAGTGGGCCCACCTCCCGGCCCCCCACCTGGGCTGCAGCCACACTCACTGGGAGCCCGGGGAGAGGGGTGCTACTGGAGCCGAGCCGTTGGGCATCGGAGGTGGCTCGCGGGCCTGGGCACTGTCAGGGAGAGGGCACCTGTGGTCACTCTCTGTCCCTCCGGCCCCCCACCCGAGACACCCAGCTGCTCACCTCTGGCTTGGGGGAAGCCCCAAGGGCTCCGGGTTCTTCTCCCCCTCTGTGGTCTGGGAGGGGTGCTGGGCCCCGGAGGCTGGGACAGAGGTAGAGGGGTCTCTGGGGGCACTGCAGGGAAGGGTGGTGTGGCTTAACTTTAGCTGCCCTCACCTGTCACCTGCAGGAGCCCCCATGCCCCAGCCCACTTGAAGCCGCCCAGAAAGGGGCTCCGGGTGGCCAAGTAGACGCTGGGTAGCTGCACGGATACCCAGGAGCACGCAGACAGCAGCACACTGGGCGTGCGTGTGCAGTGTGCTGAGCCGTGACCCCGTGCCTCGAGGCGGTGCTGGGTGCAGCCTCGTGCAAGCCTCCTACCCGGGTTGCAGGGCCCGGCGCATTGCCCCACACACATGCATTTATGGAAGGGGCCCACAGGGCTGGGACACAGGGCACTCCACACACGAGTGCAACAGCTCACCTGTCCGAGGAGCTGGGGGCAGAGCGCATCCCGTGCAGGGCAGCCTGGAGGGCCTCGACACTGACCAGGGCCTGGCAGGGGGCTGTGGAGGGGGACAGAAGCATCTCAGCCACTGGCTTCCCACAGCCCAGACCATCCACACCACAGTACCATGCCGTCGCCCCAAGTGCACCCAGGGCCCCTGGCAGACAGGCACGTGGGGGCTCACCAGAGGGCTCCTCTACTTTGCTACCATCTGCTGCCATCTGAGGTGCTGAGGGGGGAACGGGGCCCTGAGACCTGGGAAACAAGAGGCGCCTGAAGGTGTGGGCTGCTCAGCACCCAAGCCAGGCCCGCCCGGGAGGCTCCATCCCACGATCCCCACCTGAGCTGCGGGCTGACAGGGGTCGGGGGGCTGCTCGGCTTCTGGACAGGGGGCAGCAGCTCCTCTGCCCCAGAGTTGGAGGGGCCTGGCAGGGCGTCCACAGGCACTGGTGCGAAGGCGGCTGTCCAGCTGGGGCCTGGGCGGTGGGGTGGGAAGGAGGGTGAGCGAGGAGCGGCAGGCAGGTGCCCCGCCCTGCCCAGGGACCCACACTTACCGGGAGGCTGAGGGCCGGGGGGCATGGGGGCGCCGCCACCCTCCTCCTCTTCCTCCTCCTCCTCCTCCTCCTCCTCCTCCTCCTCACTGTCAGTGCTGCCTCCACTCCTGCCCCAGACAGCACCTCGTCACAAGGCCGAGCAGGGACGGCCACCCACCCACTGCAGCCCAGGGCCACACAGACGATGGTGCCAGGGGACAGGGACGGACCTGGGGAGCCAGCCGGGAAGCCGGGGCCCGAGAGCCTGACGACAGGGTCCCCACCATGGCCAGGGCAGGACGGCCCCTCGGGAAGCACACTGGGCCCCGCATGACCAGCAAGGAGAAGCCCACAGCCTGCCTTCCCCGACCCATCCCTGGAACCGAAGGGATTACTTTACTCCCTCCAGACACAAACTCCAGGAAGCAGAGACACAAGACTTTTGTCATTGCCACATCCTCAGCCATGAGAATGATGTCTGGCACCATAGCTGCTCCAAACACACTAGCTCAATTTTTTTTTTTAAATAGGATCTCGCTAAGTAGCCCAGGCTGCCTTAAACCCATGGTGATCCTCCTGCCTCGGCCTTCCAGTGCTGGGATGACAGGTGGGCACCACCACGCCTGGCGACTAGCTGAATGTTAACTAGCACACAGGCTGTGACAGTGCAGAAAACCCAACCACCTCTGTGTCCCCTGACTGGGTGGGGGGTTAAGTCAACGAGAGTCATCCTCCGTGTCCACAGGGACGCGGAGGCTGAACCTGTGGACACCAAAGCCCCTTCCACAAAACAGGGAACCTACACTTCCTCCCATAAAGCCAATCACCTCCTGGCCACTTACAGGAGCTAACACAGCATGAACAGCTGTTCCATCGTACTGTTTGGTACACAACCACAGGAAAGCTCGATACGTCTAAAGCAAGGTGATCTTTTCCAGTTCTGAGCCACAGCTGGCTGCATCTGCAGATGTGGGCCCCAGACCCAGAGGGCTGACTGCATGATAGTATTTCTAAATTGCCGGACACATGCCGATTCGACATGTTACTGAACAAATGTACCAGTACACAGTCTCAACCACAACTACAGGAAACCTTTCTCTTACTCCTCAGTTCTCAAGGAACCAGGATATCTTCAGCTGATGTAACCTTGCCCTTGAGTGTCACAGCATCACAGGACCACTGAGGTCTCAGCTGTGACCAGAGGCAAAAGTGGAGTTATGTTTTGGCACGTCAAAGCTGGCCTGTAGGTAAGACTAGGCCTAATCGTAATTTAACTGTGAAATGATTTTTCCCCAAATTTATGTAGAAGGCTCCCAACATATAAACTCCTCCCTGATTTCTCAATAAGAAATTCAATTTTATCCTATGTTAATTACAACAATGGCCAAAAAAAAACAAAAAACAACAAAACAAACCACTAAATAAAGACACCTATGTTTCTATGTGACAATTGGGCCATTAAAATTCTTACTACAGGGGGCCAAGGATTTAGCTCAGTGGCTTTGCCGCCTGCTGTGCAAGCGCAAGGATGTGGGTTTGATCCCCGGTACCAAAAAAAAAAAAAAAATTCTTACTACAGGGCTGGGGATTTAGCTCAGTGGTTCCACCGCCTGCCTTGCAAGTGCAAGGTCCTGAGTTCAATCCCCGGTACCAAAAAATAAAAAATAATTAATAAAACACAACTATAATACCCCACAACTGCACAAAGAAGGATTCAACTGGCTACGAGGCATCTGTTCTAACTTCGGCCCAGAGCAGACGCAAATGAGGCGTGGCTGGATGCCCCTGGGACGAGGAGCAAGACCAGGACCTGAGCTCCTGGCGCTCCCAGGGAACAGTGTGGCACAGGTTCTAGCCAGGACAGTTCAACAGGACAAAGAAACAAAGGCATCTGCGTGGGCAGAGAAGTGAAACCATCCCTATTTGCAGATGATGCGATCTTCTGCCTTTTTTTTTTCTGATGGAGCCTATGCTGCCCAGGCTGGCCTTGAACTTGCAATCACCCCACTTCAGCAGCCCACATAGCTGGGATTATGGGCGTGGCGTACACCACTCTGCCCCACTGACATGATCTTGTATACAGAAAATCCTAAGGCTGCCACTAAACTATTAAAGTTACTAAGTGCATTCAGGGCCAGGGATTTAGCTCAGTGGTGCCACGCCTGCCTCACAAGCACAAGGTACTGAGTTCGAGCCCAAGCCAGAGCCCCGTACCACAATAAATAAATAAATGAGTTCAAAGGTTGCTGGATGGGCCAGGGATTTAGCTCAGTGGTTCCAGCGCCTGCCTCGCAAGCTCAAGGTCCCGAGTTTGATCCCCAGTACCAAAAATAAAAATAAAAGAAAAAAACAAAGGCTGCTGGAGGTAAGATTAATAAACAAAAAACTACTATCTTTCTATACACTTGCAATAATCTCAAAATGATTTCAAAAACATTCTATTCAGAAGAGCATCAAACATAATAAAATGCTTAGTAATAAAAATTACAAAAGAACTGCAAACCTTATACTCTAAAAACATCAAAATACTGCAGAAAGAAATTAAAGATCTAAATAAAAAATTTTTTTTGGTATCAGGGATCAAACTCAGGACCCTGTGGCTTGCAAGGCAGGCGCCTGAACCACCGAGCTAAATCCCCAGCCCTAAAGATCTAAATAAACAGAAGGACATCCTACTTTCGCGGATCTGGAGTGAAAACACAACACTGTAAAACAGCAGCACTACCCACATTGCCCTGGCATCCGTGAAAGTCCTCAGAACCCCAGCAGGCATCTTGCTGAGACTGACAAGCTGGCGGTAAAAGTCAGGAACCCCAGGGCCAACACAACCCTGAACCCTCACATACACGATCAAAGGATGCTTTCCAAGGTGCCAAGCCCTTCCAAAGGAGACTCCTGGACAACTGGCCCTAGGAACTTGGCCACCCATTTGAAAAAGGATGATGCTCAACGCAATTCACACTATGTGTAGCGACGAGCTCAAAATGGACCAAAACCCCCACAGTGGTGAGCAGGAACCTGCCCACAGCCTGTCCACTATGAAACCAGCAGAGCCACAGGCCAGTCACACAGTGGCACACCTGCACGGGAAAACTGAGTGGAGGCCAAACACCGACCAAAGGGCCGGGGATTTAGCTCAGTGGCACCGAACCTGCCTCACAAGCACAAGGTCCTGAGTTTGATCCCCAGTACCAAAAAACAAAAACCAACCAAGGGGCAGATCTCAGAGAGGCTGTGGGTGAAATGGGCCAAACACAGGGTGTGCATCCCTTATCTAGAAGGTCTCGAGCTCTCCAGTGCACTCAGCCTGTATCGCAGGATCACACAGGGAAAGGGGTGAAGCTGCTGTAGGCAGGGTGTCAGGACGGCGGCCAGCAGGGGACACCACAGGAGCTGGATGCTCCTTGCCCGGGCCTGGGCACTGCACAGTGAGGGTTTACACTCGCCTGTGTGCAGGCCACGCCAGTTACAGTCAGCACGAGACACGCCCCACTCCCCATCATGCCACGGGGCAAAGGCCTGGAGCTGCAGCCACAAGCTGGGGCTCACACCAGCAAGCGTCCACGGGATGAATCCACTCCAGCAGTCATTGGGGCGACAGGAAAACAAAACGGTATTCATACGAGCTGACCCCAGCCCAACTGGAGCGGGGCCACGTGCTTTTCTTGGAATCTGGGAACAGGGCAGCCCCTGTCCCATGGGGAAGCCCGCAGCAGAGCCTGCCAGGGAACAGTCAGCGCTGGCAGAGGCATTGCTCCCCAGGCTGTCCTCTGCTTTCGCAGGCTTCCGTCACTGAAAACCGGAAGTGCCCACTGCTCCCTCACTTCAGTCTGGAGTCCCTGAAGCCCTGCGTTCGGGGGCAGCTTAGAGATGGGAGGCTGGGGGGACTCACCGGGCCCCGGGGGGCTGGCCCGAGCGGGCTGCCCTGCTCAGCGGGCTGCCCTGCCAGGCACCGTACTCTCCATCCGACTCCCCAGAGCCCTGGCCCTCCTCATCTTCCTCCTCCTCGTCATCAAACTGCTGGATGCGGTCCTTGTAGCATATCTCGAGCAGGTTGGCGTTGGGCTGGGGGCACAGGGCAGCAGGGTGGGCGGCACTGCCCGCGGTTGTCCGCTCCCTCCCCTAGCAGGACCCAGGACACAGCAGGCACTCACGTTCTCGTCGTCGGCGTTGAGGGAGAAGGTGATGTTGGCCGTTTTATCGAAAGGCGCGCTAGGAGAGAGGCGGGGCATGTGTGCACTGAGACCCTGCCTGCATCTCACAGCACACAGCTGAGCTTCGCAGTCAGGACTCCCATCTGCAAACCCTGCTCCTCCCCGAGCGACTCCAACCCCAGCCCCAGCGCTCGGTGCTCAGCCACCTGAGGGGCGGATGAGCCCTGACCCACCCCGGCAGAGGCTGGAGAGCTGTGCCACGTGCCTCGGACTTCCCCAGGCGCTGCACTCCACTTGGGGCAGCGGGCAAGGGCAATGTCAGGGCTCCTCCCAAACACAGACAGGGCGGGGCTGAGCCCAGGCCCAAGGCACAGTCAGCACAGGCAGGGCGTCCCGAGGCGTGAAGCCCACCTGGCAGCACACAGGTCGCCTCCCAGCCAGCTGGCCTCACCGGCTTGACAGGGCCTGCAGGGCGGCAGCTGCGCACCCGCCACTGCCGCCACAGCTCCATCCAGGCCTGGCTCCAGCTCGCTCGCTTTCTGTCCGAGGGAGTCAGACCCCCTCTCAGCCCACCCTCAAGCAGGACACACTTGGCCTGTCACCCAGCCTTGGACCACGACCAGCCCTGTGTGAGCTGTGTGAGGCCTGGGACTGGACAAAGCCACAGCTGCCAGCAGCCCGTCAGCACGGCCCACTCCTCTCCATGGGGTGCTGGTGCCACCCTCACAGCCTTCCGCAGAAGGAGGGGTCTGCAGAGCTAGGGCTCGGTCTAACCGGAGCAGTGACCACCCAAGGCCACAGCCAAGGGTGCCCAGGAGCTGCCGTCCTGGGGCAGACAGGGCCCAGCCTCGCACAGACACTCACTTCACGCTTTCCTCCTGCTCCCCAAACTCCTCGTCGTTAAAGCCAAAGTGGTCGATGAAGGCCGAGGTCATGCGCTGCATCTGGAAGTCCATGAAGGCCTGCAGAGGACAAAGGCGGGCTGCAGGGAGCTGGGCAGAAGAGCCTGCAGACCTGGCACACAGCCCGCACAGCCCGCCCACCTGCTGCAGCACGGCCTCCTCGGGGAAGCTGAACTCCTTGAGCCGGTCGTCCTCGTCGTCACTGGAGGAGTGCAGGTGGTGGGTGTTCACCTGGCAAGAGGACGGGACGGGCTCAGGGCCGGCTGCGGGCCGCAGCGGGGCACAGCAGGCAGCGTGGGGAGGGGCAGGGCTGCGGTGGACACCAGGCCTCACCAGGTCCACAGTGTTCCTCTTGTTGGTCTCGGCCAGGGGTCCCGACACAAACGCTTCCCACCGCTCCAGCTGCTCACCCGGCAGCTCTGCACACAGGGAGGAGGAGTGAGGCACCTGCCCAGCCTGGCCACCCTCCAACCCCTCCACGCCGAGCGGCCCGCGCCTCACCCTTCAGCAACTGCCCCAGCTGCTCAGCGTTGGGCCCCTGCTCCGCGTTTTGCACCAAAGCATTGGCCACCCGTGTCAAGTGGCCCATGTAGCCCTTCCTTGGGCCACCCCCGGACCTGCGTGACAGTGAGGCCACAGATGGGTGGCAGGCTGGATGGCAAGGCTGCCCTGGCCCCAGCCCGTTCCCCACCCGTCCACCCGCATGAAGGTGGCAGGCACGCACTGGACACAGTCATTCTCCTCCCAGGATGTGAGGATCCGCTCCACCAGGCGGCAGTGCTGCAGCAGCTGTGGGGCAAGGTGGTGTTGGCCAGAGTCTGCACCAGGGAGCCAGCACTGGGACCCACACTCAGTAAGCACCCGGCTGGCGTCAGGCCCCAGGCAGCACAGACGACAGAGGGCAGGACGGAGCCTGCTTCCCACGGAGTGAGCACAGAGCCCCAGCCCCTCTCCCCAGCGGGGTGCCCACGCCCAGCCTGCCGCCCGCACTGGCACTGCTCCACACACAGCCACAGGAGGGTGCTCACGTGTTTCAGCACGGGGTTCTGGCCCGGCGTCTCAGAGCCGCTGTGGGGAGGGGGCCCCGCGCTCAGCATGGCGCTCACACACACCTCCACTTGCGTGTGCAGGAAGTTGTTGAAGACGTAGTGGAAGAAGAGGTCCTACGGAGGGAGCCCGGGCTGGTACCAGAGGAGCACAGCCCCGCCACCCTGCCCTGCCCCAGCCCTCCCCGTACCAGCATGGTGTTGGGCACGTCCAGCACCAGGAGCTCCCGTGTCAGGGCAGTGTCATTGGCACTCAGGGCGCTGGCCAGGAGCTTGACCACGTGCAGCCGCGTGTTGCCCAGGGGCGGGGCCAGGCTGCCCCATGTCATCTGCAGCGGCTCCAGCTGCAGGAGCAGGGGACGCTCAGCCCCCAAAGGACACCTTCCCAGCCACCCCATTCCTCCCAGGAATACGGTGACCTCCACGTCCCCACCTCGAGAGGCTCGAGCAGGAGCTGGTGGAAGCGGCTGAGCCGTGGGCGAAGGGCATGCAGGGCCCCCGTGCTGGACACAGTGTTATCCAGGGCCCCCTGGGCCAGGAGCTCCAGCTGCCCATCCACACTGCTGAAGAAGTTGTTCATTGTCACGGACTCTGACCTGCGGCGCAGACAGGACAGTGAACCTGGGGTTCCACCTGGGGCCAGGCATCTCGGGACTCGTCCTGAGCAGAGCCAGCAGGGAGGGGGGTGTGGAGTGAGGGGCAGAGGGCAGCCCGGGAGGCCCAAGGGCCAGGCCTTGAGTCCGATGCTGTCAAACCCGCCCTGCTACCCTCCAGCCTGGAGCAGGGCACATAATGTTCAGAGCACCGACAGACTGGAGCACCAGCGCCACCCTGACTGGAAGGACCTCACAGCCAGGGCACAGGTGCCATCCCGGGCCACAGCCGCACCTGGGCCGCCTGGGCTCCAGCAGAGTGAGCAGCACCTGGATCCCGCTGACGAGCACAGACTGGCTCAGCTCCCCCTCGAACATGTTGCTGAGCAGCTGCTCCATGGTCTCCTGCCTAGAGGGGCAGCGAGTCAGGGCTGGGCTCCCGGGACAGCCCCTCCCGGCCCCCAGTGTACAAACCCACTTTTCCAGGGTGGCCAGCAGCTGGTCGGGCTCCAGGCTGTCCTGGCCCTGCATCAGCTGCTCCCGGCTCAGGCGGATGATGTCGCACAGAGACTGAGATGCGTTGGAATGTTGCTGGGGAGGGGGAGACAGGTCAGGATCCCCCAGAAGGGACAAGGAAGGGCAGTCACACAGAGGAACTAGCGCTGCCAGGACAGAGCACAAAGGGACCCAGGGCTCTCAGAGATGTCCATGCACCACCAGGTACCTCCAGCTGTGCCCAGAGGGCGAAGTGTGGTCTGTCCATGCTATGATGGAGTATTACTCAGCCAGGAAAAGTAACGAGGCACTGGGTCCTGCTGCATGAGGCTAACCCTTTTCTCCCCCAGTGGTGGGGACTAAGCCCTGAGCCTCAGGCAACTGTCTTCCCTCTGAGCTCCATCCCCAGCCTGAGGATGACCAAAGTACACCAGGCACACATCCGAGAGCACAAGCTTCCATTTACACAAGGGGCCCAACTGCAGAGACAAAGTGGCCCGGCTCCAGGACACAGGGCCGGGAAGCGTGAGGAGCTGCCAGTGGCCACGTCTCACCAGGAATCAGGAAAGCACTTTAACTCTGACATGGTAACAGCCACATGACACTGTGAATATGGGGAAAACCACTGAGCTATAGCTTCACGTCAGACAGTATGTGACATACATGGCAAGGAAGCTGAGTTTAAGAGGGGCGAAGGAGCAAAGTAAAACCGAGGCTACCCCGGCAGGCAGTGGGCAGGGCCCACCTCTCACCATGCCCTCCAGGGGACCAAGGGTGACACACAGGCCTCCTGATGATAGCCCAGTGTGGAAGGGCAGGGTCGCGCATGCTCAGGCTCAGCACCCCGTGTGTGTGTATGTGTGTGTGTGTGTGCACGCGCGCGTGTGCGTGTGCGTAGGTGAAGGAAGCAGCAGGGGTGCCGCGCACTCACATTGTCATCCTTTGATGGGTGGATCTGGTCGATCAGCCGCTGGATGATTTTCTCCTCATTGAGCCACTGAGGACAAGATCAGGGGCTGTAGTGAGTCCTCGGCCCCGCACGCATGCCCACCCTGGCCCTGGGGCCCAGCTCACAGTGAAGACATCTTGCCGCAGCTGGGGCCGCTCCACGCAGGTGAGCAGGCGCAGCAGGAGGTCCATGATGGCTGAGGTGCCAATGTGCCGCAGCAGCAGGTCCACAAAGTCGTCCTTCTTGCGCAGGAAAGACACGAGCTGGGGGCCGAGGGTCAAGGGCCGAGTCATGCGCAGGCCCAGACCCTGGCCCCACGCTCCCCGACAGGGAGGGAAGCACACCTGGTCTGTCTTGCGGTTGATGAGGATGCCCATGACCTTGCTGAAGAAGCTGGCCAGCAGCGGGTTGAGGCTGCTGCTGCTCTGCAGGAAGCCGTACAGCCGGTTCAGGAGTGACTCATCTGCACCCAGGGCATCGTTGATCTGGGGCACGTCTGAGGTGAGGATCTCGCAGGCCACGCTGGGGTACCTGGGGCACAGCAGGGTGGCTGGGGCTCGGGGGGAGGGCTCTTCAGCCAGCCCACCTCGCCTCCTGCGCCCTTCCTGAGAACCCTCCAGCGCTCCCTACCACCCCAAGATGACACCCGACCTGAGCCCACTCTCCCGCCCATTTCCTGACCCCCACCTCCCACCAACTCCGGTCTCTCCTGACCTGCACGTCTGGCCCCATGCACTGCCCAGCTCAGTGACTCTCCTGGGTCACCATCTAAGCTCCATCCCTAGGACAACCTTCCCAAACCTCACACCCCTGCCTCCCTTCTGCGGACAAGAGCGGCCATGCCCAGGAACCCTTGGGAACCCAGCCTGCTCTGGGTCTTTACAGGCACCACAGGCGCGCCTCCCCTCAAAGTGAACTCCTTGGAGCAGGGCAGGGACCAGCAGGGCACAGGTGGGGACAAGCCAGATGGGGACAGCCAGGTTGGTGGTGCACACCTGTAATCCCAGCTACCTGGAGGAGGCTAAGGGAGGAGGATTCCAACAAGGCCAGCCTGGGCAACTTAGCAAGACCTGCCTCAAAACACAGGGCTGGGGCAGTGATCACAAAACACAGTTCAGTGATGCGGTGTTCTCCTAGAACATGCAAGGCCCTGGGTTCCAATCCCCAGTACCATAAAGAAATGCTGGAGGCTGCCTCACTGCCCACACTGCCAGAGCCCAGGCCCACGGCCCACGGCCCACGGCCCACGGCCCACGGGATGCAAACTGAGTGAGAATGAGCAGACGGCCTGGCAGGGAGGTCAGGGCCAAAGGAGTCTGCCCGGTGCTGCATTCTGGGTCTATCTGGGGAACCCGCCCTACAGAGCTTCCAAGAACCAAGACACGGAGTACAGTGGGGTCTGTACCTGGCACCGTGGGACCCCAGGAGGGGTCTGTCCTCCCCATCTCAGCTCCCCAGCCCCGACCCACACACCTGAGTGCTCCGAGGGTGGAGGACTCACTTGTAGCGCAGCCGCTCCTCGGCATTGGCTGGGGGCTCCTGGGTGACCCAGGCCACCATGGCCTGCAGGTGCAGCGGCTGCAGCAGGAAGTCCAGCAGCTTGCGGTTCACGACTTTGCACTCCTGCAGCACGTCCTCCTCATCCAGCAGCTCGGGTAGGCTCAGGTCCTCCCGCTCCAGCAGCGTGTCCAGGTGCGAGCTTGTGTGCAGGTCAAACTTCCAAAACATGGCGCCCTGCGGGCACAGGGTATGGTCTGCATGTCATACGCAACCCTAGGTACCCTCCTCAGGCCCCGGCCCCGGCCCCCACCCTCAGGGCAAGCCGGGCCCCTGCTGGGGTGCCCCCACCTCTCACTTGCTGTACTCCCACGCTCCAAGCCCCACGAGGGATCTCGGCCTCTAAGGCATCTCCTGGGGTCCACACCCAGGCCCCACTGTCCAGTCTACCCGCAGCCCCAGGCCTGGTGAAGTCCTCTACGTGCACCATGCCAGGATTGCAAGGAGAGGCCAGCCACTGTGAGGAAAGACCTCAGCCCTTGTCCCCACCAGCCCGTGTCCACTGCCCCGTAGACCAACAGGGACATTCCAGGGACACAGCCTGAACTCCTGGCCTCAGACTCACTTCCACCTGTATTTGCTGAACAAATTCAAATGCCCCATGACCTCCAGTGCACAGCTGCTGCCCAGCCCAGCAAGGCACTCCCGACAGCTGTGGGGTGTGGGGCGGTGGCAGGGCAGAGAGGAAGTCTGCACATCTTGAGGCTGTGGCTGTTGCCTGGACACCACACACACAAACACACCCCAACCATCCTCTCAGCACCACGCACCCAGGCCAGGGCGGGGGTGGCTCTTGGAACAGCCACAGAACAGGGCCCAAGGGAGGCAGGACAGGGCTGTCAGCCTAGCAGAGAAACACAGTGAGCTGCTCTACCCCTCACCCCTCAGCCACCCTGGTCACAGGTAACTAACCGGCATCAGGAGCAGCACACAAGGTGCCAACAGAGGCTGCACGGTGCTGTCCTGAGCTGCCACCCTACACTGCTGCATTGCTCCTCATAAGAGCCCTCCAAGTAGGGGCAGGATTTAGCTCAGTGGTTCCGCCGCCTGCCTCACAAGCCCAAGGTCCCGAGTTCAATCCCCAGTACCAAAAAAAAAAAAGCCCTACAAGGGGCTGGGCGGGGTGGGGGAGACACCTATAATCCCAGCACTGAGGAGGCTGAGGCAGGAGGATTTTGAGTTCAAGGCCAGCCTAGGCAAAAGGGAGAGAGAAAGAAAGAGCCCCACAAGGTTCCTGAAACCACCGACAGCAGCCCCAACCTGTGCTCGTGGGCCTTGCTCAACAACGCGCCCTGTGCACACCACAACCAAGCTACAACAGACCCCACCGAAGCAGCAGGGGAAAACAAAGCCAAGGCGAGTGGGCAGCCTCCCAGGACCTCCTGGCCATCTGACCCCAAGAACAGGCAAGGCCCTGACCCTGTTTCTGCTCCACACCTGCCTCCCGAGCACCTCACACCCACAAGGCTGGGGGCCCATCCCTAGGTGTGCAGATGCTAGGCCCTTGCCCACGATGCCCCCAGAGCCCTCCCCAGCCTGTCCTCTAGGTCCAGCCTCCCCCCGTATAGCCTCCGTGGTCCCCCCAGGTCTGCTGGGCCCCAGGGTGGGACACAGCGGAGACATAGCTGTGCTGAGGGCAGAGCCAGCTCAAGTGTGGCTCAGGAGGTGGTGGATTCCTCCCATCCCTGCCTCACCTGAAGCCAGGCCAGACAGCACCACACCACACGGAAGGCTCCCTCACCTCTGTGCCAGCCCCTGCTGCCAAGGGACCTCTCTTGAGACTCAGCTCAGACCTCACTTCACCTGATGGGACCTGCTGTCGAACCCCCGAAAGGGTAAGAGGGAGGGAAAGGTTGTGGTCTACAAAAGGAGGGGGAGGAAAGCAGCCACAGGCTCCAGGTCTGAGACAGAATGGGGAACTGGAGAAGCCCCTCGTCCACAGCACTCAGGGACTTGGCCCTACGCTCTCGTGCCAGGCTGCTTTTCCAATAACCACCCTGAAGCACAAACCTCAATACCCTGAGTTGGCTCGTCCTGGGCCAGGCAATAGCTACCCTGGCTCCGCACTGAGCACCCAGGCAGAGCCCCCGCAGCTCACCCTACCTCCACTTTCTTGGCGACATGCAGCCTCTCCGAGTCACACATGCGGCTCGCCCTGCTGTTCCCGTCAGCTCTCGGCTAGCCTCCACTCCCCAGTACTCCGCTCCCAGCAACCCAAGGCCCGCGCTGGCGTCATTCCCACAGCAGGTTCCAGACCCCGTGCAGCCGTCCTCATGCGAGTCTCACACTGTCTCCTGGATGACCCACAGCCTCCCTGGTACTGGGAGCCCCCAGGACCAGGCTGGACATCAGAAGGCCTCAAGGTCTTTTTTTTTTTTTAAACTATTTTACTTTATTTTATTTACTCTTTTGGTACCCAGGATCGAACTCGGGTCCTTGCGGAGCAGGCGGCGGAACCACTGAGCTAAATCCCCGGCCCTTGAGGTCTCTGGGGATGGACACATAAGACAATGACAAGGACAACCACAGCGCCCAGCTCCACTGCCACACCACTACCCTGAGGACTTCGCAGGCACCACCTTGGGCAACTCACATAACCCCCCCCAAAGCACAGCTGTAGCCCATTGATGGTCAAGGAAACAAACGCAGGCCTGTGCCCGGTGAGCAGTGGAGCCTGCATGAAGCCAGGAAGCAAATTCTGGGCACAGAGGCTGTGGGCTAGCACAGGGCCTTCTGGAGCAGACAGCCAGTGGCTGCGGCGCTCGGTGCCTCAGGACAGCTGCACACAGCACCTTCGGCCCAGGACCCGGCTCTGGTTCTCACACCACGGAGCTGTCCCCTGGCCCTCAGGGCACTGGCAGCAGCACTTCCTGGATGCCCTCTGGAAGGAGGGTGGAAGGCCATGGGCTCATGACCCTCAGAGAGCGCTGGGGCAGCACAACCTACCCCTGGCCATTCCTGGACACCCAGCCATCCCTCCAGCATCATCCGGGCCTTGCTGACCCCTCCCCTCCCCACCTAAGACCGCCCGCACCTCACTGCCATCCCCAGCCGCTCTCCTCCACAACTGCCTGTGCCCAGTACCACCTGGAAAGCTATCCTAGCCATGCTCTACACTTGCGCTGGCCACACTGGCCTTCTTGCTGTTCTAGAGCACTAAAAGCTTGGGTCCACCTCATTGCTTTGTCTCGGTACTGCTTTCTTCTATTCTTTGGTCTTCTGTGAAGCACTCTCTAGGACAGCTTCCCCACGCAGCCTGGCCCAACAGCCCCATTTTTGTCTACTGCTCCGCTTCCTGCATCTGGAGCATCTCTAGCACACAGCGAAGATGTGCTCCCAGTACCCGATGTGGACTCCAAGGTTTGCACTTCCTCCAACATCTTCCTCGATAGGTTCCTATGGGAGCCCTGCAGGCAGCACCTAGCACAGCACCTGGCACTGGGCACTAACTGCTCACAAGTGTGAGCTGAAGGACACACTCATCTCCAAATCACGCTGTCACAAGCCTCCTGCCCACTAAGGTCAGGGAATCAATAAAGTAAAATCCCTTCCAGCCCTGGGGCCTGGCCCCTCCAAGCCACAGGAGGAAGGCTAGGGAGAGAGAGGTGTGAGCTCACTCAGGGATAGGCTGTCCCCAGAGGAGGGCAGGCACTAGCAGACACAGCGCTGAGTACACCCCACAAGTGGCATGAGGAGGAAACACGCACTGTGCACACCGGAACTCCTGGTTCTGTCTGAGCCTCAGACCTCCTCCTGGACCCTTCCCTGCCTTCCTACCCCACTTGGCGAAGAGAACCAGGCATCCGGCCCAGGGTAGGGGGGGGAAACGGGACCTGGGACTAAAGTAATCTCCAGGAGCAACCACCAAATTAATCACGACTGCTGACTTCCACCCAAGCCCAGGCAGCAGGAGGCACCAAGAGGCTGAGTGTAGTGAACACAAGCCTCCTACACAGGAGACCGTTCCACACTCAGTAAGGAGACTAGCAGGTCAGAAAGTGGGCCGAGCCCCATGCCCAAGCCAGGCCAAAGAGCCACTGGTTGTGCGGGCCTGCTTACGTGAACTGTTAGCAGGCATATCCAGAGAGACAGAAAGTGGAGGTTTTCAGGATCTTGGGGGATAGGAGAGTGATCGCTAATGGGGACAGTTTCTTTTTTAAGTGAAAGGAAAAAGACTTATATGATATGAAGAGAAATGAGAGTGTTTTTTTAAAAATGTTCTAAAATCTGTGAGAGAAAAGAAAAAGAAAAAAATGAATATGGTAATAGCTCCAGAAAGTTGTGAATATACTAATTAATAAACTGTGTACTTTAAATGGATAAATTGTGTGGCACCTGAATTATATCTCCATTAAAACTGTTAACAAAGAAACAAAAGCAGCCCATAGCCACCATTCTGAGGTCAGGCCCGGGCCCTGCACCATGTGGCAGCCACCCCAGGGCTGCGAAGGTACCAGCTGGTCTGGCAGAGCTGGAGCCCACCAGGCTCTGCTCTGGGAGCTCACACAGGTCACCCCTTCCCTCCCCCACACTACCAAAACCCGAGACAGAAAGCCCCTCCACAGCAGAGAGGGCCATGCTGGGGACAGGTCAGGGACACGCCAAGCCAACATCTGTGGAAAGCCTAGGGACCTACACTTTCAGCACCTCATCTCTCTCCACATCAGGACAAGGGGAGGAATCCTGAGCCCTCTCATTTGACAAGAGTCCCATTTGGAAAAGGAGCCCAGGGGAGAAGAGCCATGCAGCTACCAGAGGCAGAGCTAGGGCTCTGCCCGTTCTACGCTGAGCCTGGGCCTCTTGACGGACAGCAGAAATGCCCACCAAACTCCACGGCTCTAAGCACATTCTCAACTTGCTGGACACCCTGGGGTCAGCAAGTGGCAGGCTGTGCACTTGCTCTTAACTGGATGAACCTGGCTGAGCCCTTGGTTCCTCTAAGCCTGTTTCCTCAGCTATGAAATGAGCTGAGTTCCGGCAGGTGGTTGAGATTCAGCAGGTGCCCTTCAGACCGTCCCTGAGACCACATCCAGGCAACTTCTGAGACGGCTGCTACCCCAGGGCCAACAGTACTCAAAACAGAAAAGCAGGAAAGACACTTGGAGTTTGCCCAAGTGACTCTGGTACTTTTCCTCAGATCATTCAAACACTCAGGCAGGCACCACATACTCTGCCACCCCCACCCTCTGCCACTTTCAGCAACTTCAAGAAAACGGAAGTGGCTGCCACTGGTTTTTAGAGACTGTTTGAAAACCATGACTCTGGCTGCAAAAGGAAGAGGAGGAAACTGTAAGTGAGAAAGGTAGCCATTAAAAACTCACACTACCTCCGCCTCTCCTGCCAGCCCTACTCCACTGCCTCTGCTTTCTTGCTTTGGTGTGCTGTTCCAAGGCCTCTGACACCAGCCTCCCTAGCCCCTTCCCCAGCTCACACAAGTCTTCACTGCAGCCCCCACTGTTCCTACTGCTGCTCCTGTCCCTCCAAACACAGCTCTGCCTGCCAGGGATTTCATGGGCTGGTGCTTTACCTGCCAACTCTCCTTAATCTTTACAGGAGCCAAGCATGGACGTAAAGGGCAGAGGGGCCCCGGGAGGGCCTCCAGAGGCAGCCAACTGAGCTGCCCTGAAGTCAGCATCTTGACAGGCTGAGAGGCTGACTAGCAGTCCTGAGGGGAGAGACCCAGTTACTAGCAGGAGGCCTACCAGCACCCAGATCCTTAAAAGGCTGGGTGGCTCAGAGACAGCAAAACCACATCCCAGTAACTTCTCCCAACACCACGCCAGCTCTCAGCCAACCTGGAAAGGGGCTGTGAGCACTGGATTCTAAGAACAGGGGCAGGGTGAGAACCCTGAGCCCACTGCATGCAGCTACAGACCCCACCACCACCCTGAGACAAGGTAGGAAGTGGTTGCACATTTTTGGGAGAAGAGGCCACTGGGAAGAGAGGGGCTTAGCCAAGGACACAAGGGCCAACAAACTGGGACTTTCCCATTATTATGAGAAAGGCTGGGAATGTTTCTCCAGTCAGAGGGCAAACAGTGTCTCCCCCATGACCCCAGAACCACTCTCCAGGCCCAAACCCAGGGGATGGAGTAGTTAGGAATCAGAGAGACTAGGGACACAGGCCAAGGACTGCAGAGGGGACTTGAAGCCTCACACTAGGACTCATCACCTGGACTGGTCACAGGATTAGAGGAAAAAAGGGAAAAGACCAGCAAACAGATTTGACAATAGCCCTCAGGAAAACACAGAGAGCAGAGTGAATGTCACAGTGTGATCTGAGGTCAAGGTCTGGGTTCAAGCCTTTTTTCTTGGTACTGGGGATCAATCGCAGGGCCTTCTCACTGAGCTACATCCTCAGCTCTTTATTTATTTACTTTTTAATTGTGAGATGGGATCTCACTAAGGCACAAAGTTGCCCAAGCTGAACTCGAACATGCAATCCTCCTGCCTCAGCCTCCCAGAGTGCCAGATTACAGGCTGGGTTCAAATCTTATCTCTCTAAAGGGAAATCTGAAGACCAAGAACTTAACCCCTGAGGTCAGTGTCCTCATCTGGAAAATCACACAGATGGGTTACTACAGAGCAGCACTTCCCAGTGTGGGAAGGAAAACCCTAGTCTGGCATATTAAGGACAGCCAAGCTAGGCAATTCGGGGCCAAGGTCTCAGCTTCCCCAGAACACCCAGGCCTCTCCCCTTGTATCTTGCTGCAAGTCATGCACACAGACTTGCGTCTCACCTGACTCCCCTCAGCCTCAGCTGCACTGTTCCTCCCGATACCTGCACCTCTATGGGTCCGATGACCTCCCCCCAGTCCTCCAGGAAGCCTCCACAGCATCCTTCTCCCATAGCATCCCCTAAGTCACCTTAGGGCAGCTTCTGAGCCTGAGCTCTGTGACAGGACCTGCCTGTTCAGGAATCTGCCTCTCCCTGGAAGACGCCACTTTCCCAGAATCTAGCATACAGACAAACCCAAAGCCCAAGTACTTGTCAGATTAGTGAAAACTGAAGGCAGTGGGGGACAGTGACCCAGGGACCTCACTTGGCCATGGGTCCTGAGGGGGGAGAAAAAAAAGGGAGGGCAGATGAGCAGGTTCACTTCTAATGGAAAAAAAGGTACCTGACCTAATGAAAGCTGATGGGCAAAGAAGTAAATACACAGCATGCCACACAACACAAGCTGCAACAAGCAATAAAGCAGTTTCTGTCCATCAGCACTGTGACATTTGGGACCAGGTAGGCAGTATTTGTGGTGCAGGGACTGTACCTTGGAAGACATTGAGCAACATTCCCTGTTGGTCACCACCACATCCACTCTCCAGATGCTGAGAGTGTGCCCCTTCCCCAGTTGTGAAATGTCCCCTAGGGGTACAATCGCCCCTAGCTAAGAACCAACATAATGTACATCCCAAACCAAACAGTAACCCTAAGAGATACTCTGCATTACACACACACACACTGTGCCTCGAGTTCTGCTACACAATCTACAAACTTCTCCCCAGAACCACCCTCTGTGGACAGCACTCCTGCCATCCCCACCGAGAGCCCAACAGAGGCAGCATGGAGCACTTAGTAACTTGTCCAAAGCCTCGACACTTGGAAAGGCAGAACCAGGACTCGAACCTAGGTCTGCCTGACGAAAGGTGTCACTCAGAACAGTGTCTCACTGCTTCCTCATAATCCCAACCCCAAACCTAGTTGATGAATTTAAGCAAAATGATACACAACGGTCAAAAAAAAAAAAAAAAAAAAAAAAAA